CTCTCTCTCTCTCTCTCTCTCTCTCTCTCTCTCTCTCTCTCTCTCTCCCTCTTTTGTAGTCCCACTCCTTAGCACAGTACATGGCCCATAGTTGGTGCTTAATAAATGCTTGTTGGCTTGACTTGATTTAGATTAGTCAACTTGTGAAGTTTCTGGTAGAGTGTCCAGAGGTTTTGTGTTTGGCTCTGTGCTGTTTAACATTTTTCATCTGTTGAGGCAGATGATTTGCTTACCAAATTTGCAAATGATCAACATATTTTAATGTGTTAGAATAAAATATTAGTCTAAATCTAGCAAGATGATTAAAGGTGGGAAGGGTTGGGTGGAGAGGAAATCTAGACCCTAATTTCATTGGATAGTGAATGCCTAGTGTGGAGATACCCTCTATTCATTTGGTAATCTGTCCACAGCTTGCAGTCTTTGAGAGTTCCCTCAGGCACAGAAAGGTTAAATGACTTATCTAGAGTCACACAGCCAATATGTGTCAGAAACAGGCCTTGAACACAGTTTTCTGACTTTAAGTGAGCTAACGCTCACTATACAATGTTTTCTCAAGATGAAATTTAATAAATAAAAATGTCTTGTAACTGGACTAAAAATCAACGTCACAAGTACAAGATAGGGAAGACATAAAAATAGTTCATCTGAAAAAGATTTGAGGATTAATGGGTTGTAAAATTGGTATGAGTCAGCAATGTACAGCAGTCAAAAAAAATCTATAAGAGTCATGTTGCATTAAGAAAAGCAAAGTATCCAGAACTAGGAAAGTGAAAGTCCTGGTATACTACATCCTGTTCAGACCACATCTAAGTGGCATGTTCATTTCTGGTTGCCAATATCTAGAGTGTCCAAAGACGAACTACTAGGCTAATGAGGTGCTTGTGATTATGCCATATAAAGAAAAATTGAAGGCACTGAGGATGTCTATTTTGAAGAAGAGAAGACTTGGGGAAAACATGATAAATGTCTTTCAAATACTTAAAAGAATGTCAACTAGAAGAGGGTAATCCCTCTATTCTCTTTTTTTCCTTGGCCCCAGAGAGTTTTAGGAACAATGGGTAAAAGTACAGAAAAGTATTATTTTTGCTTTGGTGTCAACACTAATAATTTAAGCTATTTATTAATAATTTATAAATTCATACATGCAGTATATATATATATAAATATATACAGTATATATAAATTCATAAATACAGCATAGCATTTTCTTTTAATTTAATCCTTATATTGTAACCCACCAAAAATTCAATTCAATTTAACAAACATTAAATGAGTGTCTTCTATGTGAAAGGAAATATGTTAGATGGTGAAGACTGAAAAACAAAAATTAAAATTAAGTTTAACATGTTTACATCCTGCTGGGGAATACAAAGTATATGCAGATAAGCAAGTATAAGGTAATATGAGGAGGAAGAGAACACTAATAACTAGAGCAGCAAAGGTTTGAAGGTGCAGTCTATGCTCACAAACAAAGATGGAAGATGGAATGTCAAGTTTGGCAAACAGTAATAAACCAGTTTATGAAGTACAATATTGAGAAAGATAGGTTGGAGCCAGTTAATGAGTATAACATTTATTACTTTTATTATTTTATCTACTTTATTATGATCAATTAAGAGAACCTTAATTGATAGCCAAGGAGTTTCCATGTTACCCTATAGGCAAATCGGAATCACTGAAATATTTTTGAGCAGATAAGTGACATGGACAGGCCTGCACTTTAGTAATATTATTGACAACTTTATTAGATTAGAAATAAGGAAAACACTAGAAAGCATAGGATTAAATGGAACTTTTCCTAATAGAAACTATCTCTCTAAAACTAAAAGCCAGCGTTATCTATAATGGGGATAAACTAGAGCTTTTCTAATAGGATCAGGGTAAAGCAAGGATGTCCATTGTCATCATTAATATTCAATATGGCTAGTTATAGCAACAGGACAAGAAAAAAAATTGAGCAAGCATAAGAGGAAACAAAATTCATTCTTTGCAGATATGATGGTTTGCTTAGAGAACCACAGAGTCAAATAAAAAACCAACTGAAACAACAACTTTAGCAATGTCTTAGGATGTTAAAAAAAATCCATACAAATCATTAGCATTTCTGTGTATTACCAACAAAATCCATCAGAAAGAGAGAAAGAGTAATTGCATTTAAATAACTACGGATAGTCTTGGAACCTGCCAAGAAAAACACTGGAACCATATAAACAAAATTACAGAAACACTCTTAAATAAATACTGATCTAAATAATTGGAGAAATATTCATTGTCCATGGGTAAGCCAAGCCAATATAATAAAAATGACAATACTACATAAATTAATTTACATATTCAGTGCCATACAAATCAAACTAGGATCACTTTATAGAGCTAGAAAAAATAATAGCAAAATTTATCTGGGGGAAGAAAAAGTCAAGAATATTAAAGGAAATAATTAAAAAATGGGAGAGAAGGGGGCCAAGCAACACCAGATTTCAAACTATACTACAAAGTTGTAATCATCAAAGGAATGTGGCACTGATTAAGAAATAGTGAGGTTGATTAGTGGAATAGATTAAGTATTCAGTATACCGAAGCAAAGAAACGCAGTAGCCTACTGTTTTATAAACCCAAAGAGCAAGAATTCACTATACGACAAAAACTGCTGGAAAAACTGGAAAGCAGTATGGCCGAAACTAAGTATACACCAACATCTTATACCACATACCAAAATAAATTGCAAATGGACACATGATTTGGATATGAAGAGTGACAAATTTGAGCATGGAAGAAATTACCTGTCAGATCTATGGCTAGAAGAAGAGTTCATGACCAAAAAAGAGATAGAGAGGTTCACAGAAAGTAAAATAGACAATTTTGATTACATAAAATTAAAAAATTTGTGCACAAACAAAATCAATTCAGCTAAAATTAGAAGAAAAGCAGAAAATTGGGGACAGGGGAGGATTCTATGCAGTGAGATTCTCTGTTAAAGGTCTCATTTCTAAGGCATATAAGGAACGGATTCAAAAGTTCAAGAACAAGAGCCATTCCCCAATTGATAAATGAGCAAATGATATGAATAGGCATTTTCAGAGGGAAAAAAATCTAAGGTATCAATAGTTCATAAAAAAAAATACTCCAAATTACTAATAATGAGATAAATGCAAATTAAAACAACTATGAGATAATGCCTCATACCCCTCAGACAGGCAAAAAGGGAAAATCACAAATTTTGGAGGGAATGTGGGGAAACAGATACACAAATGCACTGTTGGTAAAACTGTGAATCGGCCCAGACATTCTGGAAAGCAATTTAAAACTGTGGCCAAAAATCTATTAAATTGTGTGTACCCTTTGACCCAGAAATGTTGTTACTAGGGCTAAAGCCCAAAAAGACCAAAGAAGAGGAAAAAAGACCCAATATGTACATTTTTAAGGCAGCTCTCTTTGTGAGAGCAAAGAATTGGAAACTGAGGGGGTGCCCATTGATTACAGAATAGCCTAACTCTTTGAACCAGTTATACTGAGCTCCTTGCTGTTCTCCAAACAAGACACTCCATTTCCCAACTCCGAACATTTTCTCTGGCTGTCCTTCATGTCTGGAATGCTTTCCTTCCTCATCTCTGCTTCATGGCTTCCTTCAAGTCTCAGCTAAAATCCCATCTTCAGCAGGAAGCCTTTCCCTTAATTCTAGTGTTTTCCCTCTATTGCTTATTTTCTATTTACTCTATATATAGCTTATTTCTACATATTGTTTACATGTTGTCTCCTTCATTAGATTGTGAACTCATCAAAGGCAGTAACTGTCTTTTGCCCTTCTTTGTATCCCAAGTTCTCAACACAATGATTGGTATACAATAGGTTTGTAATAAATGATTACTGCCTAACTTGAATAGTAACCTAATATTCTGTCATTGTGATTCTAGGAATAGATTAGATCATTGGAATATAAGGAATTGACAGTTACGGTTCAAATTGTGTTGATCTGGACAATTTAATAACATTTTTTCCCAAATTTGTTTTAGAGATAAAATTTATCAGCAAGGACCACATTCTAAATATTTAAACAGAACACTCATGTATTTGAATTTGTGCTTAGTGGCAGTAACAAATTGATCCAGGAATAAAGAATGCTTTCTCTTTAAAGTCAGTACACAAAGTAAATTTCTCTCTATAGCCGTAGTGGGAATGACCCAATTTTGTCTTTTTTTTTCAAAAAAAAGGAGGGGAGGGGTTGGGATCAGCACATTTTAGATATTAATTTTTGTCATGAACTAGGAAAAAATTCTTATTGTTTTCTGAAAGGGGGGGCCTCATCATTTAAAAGTGGTATAAATATTGGTTTTTGCTTTCACTTATGTGATACTTCATGTATTCCAACAAATTTGGTGTTATATTACCATAGCAGAAATTATCAATTGTTTTCTCTGTCTACTGTTTTTCAGGAGTTCATGTCTTAGCCACTTTTGAAAAAACACCCCTTGAGAAAGCATTTAGGAGACCAAATGCTGACTTCACAACCAACAAGTTCTCAACTCACCTTTGGAATACTCTTAGTCACATGGCTCCAGCAGTGATGTATGACTTTTATCTTCGCCTCACAGGAAGAAAGCCCAGGTGAGAAGATAAACTACTCTGAAAAAATGTTATTGAGTGGTACAATCCTGAGGAAACCAATTCATGCTGAATTAATTTGGAACACCTTCAAGGTGTAAGCACTCTTTATATATGAATAAGGAAATCAGAATCTGATATAATGGAATTTGGAGTAAGTGGACTTTTGTTCAAGTACTAACTGTGAACATAACGTCCTTTTGGAATGACTTAAGGAAGTCATTCCAACTCTTCCAGCTTCAGTCTTCTCATCTCTACTGGGGATTATGGCGTCTGCTCTACCTGTCTCATAGAACGTAAAGATCAAAGGAGTCTTCCTTTGATGTATATGAAACAGGTCAGAAAAGTATCAAATATTATACAAAAGCAAGGTTTTACTATTATCGTAATATATAATATTATATGTAATATATACAATTATTAGTGTTATGTTACCAGAAATAAAAGGCTTAGATAGTGTTGCCACTTCTGCTGGACCTTTTGTGAAGAATGACATCTTTCTCTGCCTATGGCTCATTGTTTAGGTATTGATGGATTCGAATGAGTGTAAATAGCAATTGTTTTCTGTTCTGGCCAGAAACTCTGAGGGTCTTCCCTATCTTTAAGATGATAAATTGGGCCACCTTTTGTCTCAATTCTTACCTAATCCTTAGTCATTACATGGGCTTGGCCTCAGACAAATTGAGACCTGAGAAAGACCTTAATTCAGAAAAGGGCAAGGTCATCAACTGCATCCTGGGCCATCACCAATCATTTTTGACTTTTATCTTGCCACTGGAATCCAGTGACCCTAGAGGAGAGAGCAAGGTTGATGACATTACATGGCTCTGCCTCACTCAAATCCAATTCATGTCCAAGTCAGGATATCATGCTCCTGATGTCATTGGACCTCTTCAAGAACAAAAGATGAACAACAACAATCCAGCCACTACTAGCTCACTTCCTCAAACACAACATTCCTTATCCCATCTCCATGCCTTTTCACTAGCTATTCTTTATGTCTAGAATGTTCTTCTGCCTGACCTCTCCCTCCTGGTTTCCTTCTAGACTCAAGTCAAAGTCTACCTTCTGTAGAAAGTCTCTCCTGGTGTTCCCCTTACACCCAGTCAGTCAATTTAACATTTATCCAGTGCCTATTGTGCAAGAGGCACTGTGCTAAGCACTAAGGACACAAAAATGGGCAAAAGACAGTTCTTGTCATCAAGTAGCCCACAATCTCAAGAAAACTAATATGTACAAATAAGCTATACCCAGAATGTATAGGAAATAGTTAAAAGAAGGAAGGCATTAGAATCAAGAAGGGTTGAGAAAGGTTTCCTGTATTGTTGTTCAATTGTTTCAGTCATGTCTGACTCTACATGACCCCATTTGGAATTTTCTTGGCAGAGATACTGGAGTGGTTTGCCATTTCCTTCTCTAGCTCATTTTACAGATGGAGAAACTGAGGCAAACGGGGTTAAGTTTCTGAGGCTGCATTTGAACTCAGGAAGATAAGTCTTGCTGACTCCAGGCCTGGCACTGTGCCACCTAGCTGTTCAAGGTTTCCTGTAGAAGATGGGATTTCAATTGGAACTCAAAGGAAGCTAGGGAAGTCAAGAGGTGAAGATGAGGAGGAAAAGTATTCCAAGCACAGGAGACAGTCAGAGAAAATACCCAGAGCTGAGAGATGGAGTGTCTTGTTTGTGGAATAGCAAAGAGGCTAATGTCACTGCATTAAAAAGTACATGTCAGAGAATAAGGTATAAGAAGAAAATGGGGAAGGGGGAGGAGTTAGGTTATGAAAGGCTTTGAGTTCCAGTGCATTTTGTATTTGATGTTGGAATCAGTAGGGAGCCAACAGGAGTTTATTGAATAAGGAGATGACATGGCTGAATGGAAGATGGATTGAAGTGGGGAGAGACTTGAGGCAGGCTGACCCACCAGCAGGCTACTGCAATAGTGCAAGTGGGATGCGATGAGGGCCTGTACCTGAGTGGTAGTAGTATCAAAGGAGGGAAGAGATATTGCAAAGCTGAAATTGATAGGCCTTGGTAATAGACTGGATATGTCGAGTTTTGGATGTATTGAGTTTAGGATAACAATTGGACATTCAAGATATCTGAAAGGCAGTTGGAAATGCAAGATTAAAGGTCAGCACAGAAGTTAAGGCAGGATAGATAGATTCAAAAATATAAGAATAAAGATTGTAATTCAATCCCACGGGAGCTAATGAGATGACTAAGTGAAGCAATGGAAAGGGAGAAGAGGGCTCAGAACAGAGCCCTGTAGGACACCTACAATTAAGTGGACATGACCTGGATGAGGATCCAGCAAAATAAACTAAGGAGAGATCTGATAGGCAGAAACAGAACAACAAGAGAGTGAGAGAGCTATCCAAAAACCTAGAGAGTTTCAAGGAGAAAAGAATGGTCAACAGTACCAAAGACTGCAGAGAGTTCAAGAAGAATGAAGACTGAGAAAACATCACTGGATTTGACAATCAAGAGATCTCTAGTAATTTTGGAAGAAAATTTTCAGAGGAATGATAAGGTTATAAGCCAGACTGTATGGGGTTAAGAAGAATGAGAGGAAAAAAAGTGGAGATACCTATTATAGATGACCTTTTCAAGGAGTTTGGCCACAAAGGCAGAAGAGATAAAGGATAATAACTAGCGGGAATGAAAGGATCAAGTGAGTATGAAGGAGATACAGACATATTTGTAGGCATTAGGAAATGAGCCAGGAAACCAGAAGATCTTGAAGATAAGTGGTAAGAGTGAGGGTGATGGAAAGGGGCAATCTGTCAGAGGAGATGGGAAGAAATGGAACCACTTGTGGAGGGTGGATCTTAGTAAAGAGTAAAGCAACCTCTTTGTGTGAGACAGGATAGAGGAGATAATGGCAGTAGACAGCTGAGTGATAAGAGATGAGGAAGAGGGGAAAAGAGAGAGCTCTCAGCAAATGGCCTCATTTTTTCCTGTAAAACAAGAAGAAAGGTTCTCATTTGGGGCAGTGGGGGGGGGTGGGGGGGGAAGGAAGGGAGGGGAGTCCATGGGAGGTTTGAGGAAAGATGAAAAGGTTTGGTAGAACCACGGTGAAGAGTGGGATAGAGAGCTGATAAGGAAGTTGTAGAAGGATTGCCTAGTAGCAGTGAGGATCTGGTTGAGGTTGTATAACATAAATTTGAAGTGGATCCAGTCAAAATAGTTATGTGATTTTCTCCACTTTTGTTCAGCAGTACTTGTATTTTAGTGAAAGTGGTAGATGGTAAGAATCATCATTCAAGGCTGAGGACTGGCATGGCACAATCAGTGATATAAGGGGACCAGGGACTCAAGAGAGTAGTTTAGAATTGAACTAGTTCATCAAGGGGTCAAGAGAAGGAAAAGAGGAGAGACTGGCTAGTGTAGAGGGGAGGGCTGAGAGAAAACTGAAGAGTTGAGGGATTGGAGATCACAGAGTGAATTGCTAGTACTTTCCCTCTAAGATTACTTTCCATATATACTGTATATATCTTGTCCGCACAATTTTTTTGTATGTCATCTCTCCCATTAGAATGTGGGGGAGAAACAATTTTTGCCTTTCTTCATATATCTAGTGCTTAACAAGTGCTTGGAATACATTAAGTGCTTAATAAATGCTCATTGACTAATTGATAATGGGATTTATCTGTAATAACTTTTACTATGGCTATTCAAATTGCCTTGAAGAAACATTTTGAATTCTCATAATCATCAGTTATGCCAAATACCTGTGCATCCTAAGTATCATTTGCTTGGTATTTCTCATGTGATTAATGCAGCAAAGTTGGTCTGACTCCTGGTAAAGGGATAGAAAAAGACCTTATATTTTATGTCTGTATTATGAAAGCTGGTTAGGCTCCATGAATACTAAATGAAATTGTGACTCCTACGATTTGGGTAATCATCCCCATAGACTCTATCCCTTTTTTGATGTATAGCATCACATGATGTTATAAGAAGAGATGAGATTTTCCCTGGTCTAGATAGAGAATTCTCATCTTTTCCTACTAAATTCAAGAATGTATTGTGCGTGTGTTTGTATGTGTACACATATATGTATATAAGTACATGTGTTTATGTGTGTTTGTGTATATTTACTAAAGGTGAAAAGGTATGAATGGTCTGCTACTCAAAGAACTGAACAGTGGAAAAGAATAAAGAAATGGGGTATAAGAAAATTGAGAATATAATTAGCATTTAAAATTCATTCCAGTTCCTTCAGCTAATGGGGAATAACCAGAGAAATAAGAATAAGAGTTTTCACATAAATCCCTAGATATTCTTGAGAATAGTTCAAGGTAATTTTAGTGTTTTCTTAAAAATAACTTGTTTCTCACAGTGTGGGTTGCAAAGTAGAAATATTTCACAGAAAAGCTGAAAACAGATAAGCAAGTATACAAGGTGCCACTTAGATTTATTTCTATTTGATCTCTCCTTCAGAATGGCAAAACTCATGAATCGCATGTTGAAAACCATTTCCATGTTGGATTATTTCATCAATCACAGTTGGGAATGGAGTACCTACAATACAGAAATGTTGATGTCTCAGATGAATAACGAAGACCAGAAAGTAAGTATTGTGTTGAATTCAAAACCTCTTTAATTTGGATGTCAACAATTTAGAATTTATGATACTTTGACCAGAATAGGCTGATCAGTATAGAAAGGTTTCAAAAAGCAAATAAATTAATAGTATAAACAACATTACAGGGAGCAAGCTATTTGAGAAAAAGAATATTGCCAGAGGCACTAAACCATGCTGACTGGACCCACGCCTAACCGTCTCTCACCCCCTCTGTTGTGTTGTAAGAAATAATGAGAGGACCAACCACAATTTCAAAGGACTCATGGTGTAGCATTCTATCCGCTTCCAGAGAAAAAGCTGATGGACTCAGAATGCAGACTGAAACACTTCTTTTCTCTTTTTCTTTCATCCATCCATCCTTCCTTCCTTCCTTCCCTTCCATTCTCTCTTAAAGACTCAGAATATTTCTCCTCTTTACTATTTCCACTGCAACTACCATAGTCCAAGCACTCAACAACTCATGTCCTGCTAACTGATTTTTCTGCTTCCAATCTGTTTACAATACTTGAATATGGAAAAAGTCACTGGAATCATGAAAAGTTCCTTCAGCCATCTGGGCCATTTACACACCCTGATTTTGAACAAAGCACTGAATCTCTTCAGTGTGTGTGTGTGTGTGTGTGTGTGGTATGTATAGATATATGTATATATGTAATGTGCTAACCAATATATATATAGATATAGATAGATATTTAATGTGCTAACCAATCCTAGAAGCTACAACCAGATTTATCTTCTACTGCTCTAAATATGTAATGGGCATACTCCCTTGCTCAAGGACCTTCAATGGCCTATAAGAAAAAACATCAAATTCCTCAATCTAGTATTTGAGGCTCTACACAGATACTGCTTAACCTTCTTCTTCAACTTTATTTCCCATTGCTTCCTACATAAACCTCCTACTCAAATCAATTATGCTGAATATGCCATGCACATTCCAGTTTTCAAACCTTTGCCTATTCTGATCTCCTATCTGGATACTCACCCTCTCTCCTCTTCTCTGCTTTTCTAAATTCTAAACAGTATCCCAATTCAAGGCCAATCTCTTTATGAGGACTTTCTCAACTGCCTTAGCCTTCAGACATTCAACAAACTCTATTTATGAGCCTGATTAAACTAAGTACTAGGATACAAAGATAAAGAAGAAACACTTCTTGCCCTTAAGAAGCTTGCATTCTAAGAACCTCTTTTGACCTTGATCTATACCATTCATTTTTATACTACCTTATATTACCACATATACTTGATATTGTTATTTATCTTTTAATGTCATTATTCTGTCTCCCCCACCATTGTGTCTATCTTCATATCAATTCAGCACCCAGTATAGTACTTCACACAGTATCTGCTGCTCCTACTGCCACTAAAGAAACTATTTCCAAATACTTTCAGTACATTTGATTATGGAAGTTTAATTTCTTCCTTTAAGTAAGTACAGTGGCTCATACTCACTGACAATTTTACTTTAGTAAAGTTACAAGTAACTGAAAAGTAACAAAGTTATTCCTTTAAAAAAAATGTACTCTAGTTTAAAATTTTTGCTAATCTGGACTGATGTTCACTCCAGTAATTCACAATAAGTGAAGTTTTCTTGTATTAATATTACTCATTTCCTTAAAACATTTGGCCAAAGTTAATACTGTTGTTAGAAAAGTCACCTACTATCAGACTTTAAAGGATACTCTTAATTTTTAGCCTCAGACTCGTTCAAAAATCTTTTAATAAAATTTATTCTAATTTGTAATTTATTTTATACAGGCCTACTAAATGTTCTATATCATTAGTACATTATAACTGTTAACACATTGGAAAAGCATACTGTAGTCAACCCAGATACAAACCGAGTGATTTGTTTTAATTCCCTTGAATTCTCTGTATTTGCTGCCTTGCTTAACGCCATGTTTTTATGGACTCATCTGGTAATGTTAATGGGGTAACACTACACAGTCATGGAGTAATTTTAACAGATTTCTCTCTGGCTTTTAGCTAATTCAAATGACTCTTTGATGTATGTTTTCCCCTAAATCATTGAATGATGATGAAATACAGGCACTTCATAAACAAATGTTTTCATATTGGTCAGAGGAAAATTTCCTATATCTCACTTTGAAATGCAATTTGGCTTTTAAAGCTAACTTCTCACTAAATTTGAGCTTTTATGATCCATAGGTCAATAATTTATTTCAATAAATATTTACTAAGTGAATCCTTATGTGAGACACTACAATAAATGCTAGGGATATAAAGACAAAACTGAAAAACAGCCCCTGCCCTCAAGGGAATATTCTACTCAAGCCGTTTTTTGAGCTTTATAATACTTGCTTACTGTCATTGCAGCTCTCCGACACCCTTTATGGAGTACATTTACTAAGCACATACTCAGTATTGGTGTGTCTGAGAACCTCAGTAGATTCTTCAAGCTTCCCAAATCAGGGGTTACTCCTGTAGGTTAGTTGTTAACCTGGAGGAAAATCTTTCCCTTAGTAGTATGCCATAGAACTTTTGTCAGTCCTTCTCTGGTCAATATCTTTGATTGGATTCAGATAATGATATCAAAAATGTTTACCAAATTTTGTGGATAGCTAACACTGTATGACAGAATCAGGATTTTTTAAATTCTCAACAGTATGCCATTAGAATATGCCAAATCTAAAAAGTTTGCATTTCATTGGAATAAATATAAAGTCTTAGACTAAAAAAAAAAGTAAACTGGACAAATAACTATGTGGAAGAGATACGGCTAAGGAATCATTAATGGAAAAATAATCAAAGAGTTTTAGTTGACTGTAAGTCCAATGAGTCAACAGTATGACATGGCATCTCCAAAAGCTAATCTGTTCTTAGGCTTCATTAATACTATATAGAATCCAGGCAGGGAAAATAATAGTTTTACTGAATTCTGCGCAGTTTGGACTGCACCTGAAGCATTCTGTTCAATTCTGGGTGTCATATTTTAAGAAGGATATTGAAAATGGTATACTGACAAACTGAAACATATCCAGAAACAATCAGAAGAGTGGAATAACATGAAACCACTTCATATCTGACACAGTTGAAGGAACCGGAGGTTTTTAGCCTGTAAAAGTACAGACTTTGGGCAGGGTTTGAAAATTATACCTGATATATTTGAAAGGCTATCACATGGATAAGGATGTTTGTAGTGGTTGATTCATTTCTTTGACAATGCTGTTTTAGGTCTACTGGCTTTTGTAACCTAAAACTGAAACAAAATATGTAAGTTGTGCATGAAAAGTAGACTACCTTAATAATTTAACTTGGTTGTGTGTCTGTACATACAAATGTGTATGTGTATATATATATATATATATAGATAGATAGATAGATAGATAGATAGATAGATAAAGTGGGTATATATGTGTGTAAATATGTATATACACATATTTCTATATACCTATATAGTCAATCAATAAGCATTTGTTAAGTGTCTACTATACTAAGCACTGGGGATTAAAAAAAAAAGCATAGTCCCTTTTCTCAAGAAGTTCACAGTCTACTGGGGAACAGAAAATGCAAACAATTATGTGCAAAATATTTACAATATAAATTGAACATAAAGAGAAAGCACTAATTAAGGAGATCACAGAAAGCTTCTTTTAGAAGATAAGAATTTAGCTGAGATTTTAAGGAAGCCAGGAAGTAGAGATGAGGAGGGAGGATACTGCAGACACAAGGAACATCTAGTGAAAATTCATGAAGTCATAAGATGGAGAATCTTGTTCAAAGAACAGCGAGGAGACCAGTGTCACTGATTACGGAATACACGGAAGGGAATAAGGTGTAAAAAGACTGGAAAAATAGGAGGGGGTCAAGTTGTGAGGAGCTTTTCATGCTAAACAGAAGACTTTACGTTTGATCCTGGAGGTGACAAGGAGACACTGAGTTTAGTGAATCAGGGGTGACACGACTAGATTTGTATTTTAGGAAGATTAATTTGACAACTGAGTGGGGGATGGACTGAAGTGGGGAGAGAAGATACAGGGAGGTGATGAGGGCCTCCATCAGGGCAGTTATTGTGCCAGAGAAGGGGGCATATATGAAAGTGGAATTACCAAACTTGAACTTGACAACAGATTAGATATGGTGAGAGTGAGAAGTCAAAGATGACACTCAGGTTGCTAGCCTGGATGACTGGATGGTGCTCTCAAGAATGATAGAGAAGTTCTGAATGGGGAGGGTTAAAGAGGAATGATGAGTTCAGTTTAGGATATGCATATACATTCACATACACACATATATACATCTATGAATATATCTGCACACACATATAGTGAAACTAACAAGTGGTTGGAAGACTACTTCTTACCTCAACTTTTCATTGAAGCTGTGGGTTGGATTCTTAATATCATAAAACTTAATAGTAAAGTAAAACTAGAGTCTGATATATCAAACTTTGCCCCACGACACTGAAATTTAGAGAGTACTAAAATTTCAAACTGAACTTAATGCCTAGTTTGCAACTATCTTTTTAATTTTCAAATTACTGGGGCATAAGCTCAATGAAGCCACATCAATTACACACCAAAAAATGCCACTTCTCAATAGCTCTTAGAATTTTTTTCCTTCATAATCCTATCTCTAATTCTTTGGCCTCAAGAATAGGCCTAATATTGGGGCAGCTGGGTCACACAGTAGATAGAGCACCAGCCTTGAAGTCAGGAGGACCTGAGTTCAAATCCGGCCTTAGATCAAACACTTGACACTTACTAGCTGTGTGACCATGGGCAAGTCACTTAACCCCGATTGCCTAAATAAATAAATAAAAATAAAAAATATTTTTTAAAAATGGGCCTAATATTTCTCCACATGATAGCCCTTCAAAATCATTTTTAAATAGTATTTTATTTTTTCCAATTATATGTAAAGACAATTTTTAACATTCACTTTAAAAATTTTTTTGAATTTCAAATTATCTCCCTTACTTCCTCCCAATCTGATATGGGTAATGTATGTGCAATCATGTAAAACATATTTCCATATTGTCATGTTGTGAAAAGAAGAAATAGGCCAAAAGAAAAGAGTCATGATAAAAATAAAGAAAGTAAAAATTGTATGCTTCAATCTACATGCAGACTTTTTCAGTTTTTTCTCTGTATGTGGATAGCATTTTCTGTCATGAGTCCTTTGCAATTGTCTTGGAAGCCCTTCAAATTGTTAAAAGTGACTATCATAAAATTTCAGAATTTAGAGTTGGAAGCCCTTGTTCTACCATACCTGACAAATAGTCATCCAGCCTCTCCCTTAAACATTTCAAAAGAGATGTTAGGAGAAACTACTACCTTCCAAGGTAATCAGTTCCACTTTTTAAAAAATTTTTTTTTTACAGTTCTAATTGTTAGGAACTTTCCCCTAACAAAAACCACTTCTTTTAACTTAAAAACTTTTCCCAATTTACCCCTTTAGCCTTTGACCTTTCCTCACACAGGTCTTAGGAAGTGTTTATATAACAATTCTTTAACGTATCCAGTTAAAGCCATCCATTTCCTCATCTCCTTCTTAATTACAGCCTTCCACCATTACCTTTTATCTTTCCTCAAACAAGAAAAAATTTACTCTACTCTATAAAACTTGGGAATCTCATATATATGTTTTTCAATGTTGGATTATTACATTACTGCCCAACTGTTCATTCTTAGCAATTAAACCACTGTTATCTCCTTTCAGTTATTCAACTTTGACGTACGCCACTTGAATTGGTTGGAGTACACTGAAAACTACTGCTTGGGAATTAAGAAATATCTACTGAAAGAGGATATGGCTGGAATTCCTGCAGCAAAGCGACATTTAAGAATGTAAGTGTCAACAATCAATTAACAATAGCTGTTGAGTTCCTATAATGGGCTAGAAACTTATTACCCACAGAGAATTTATAATTGAGGCAAAGAAACAAAACAGACACATGAACAATTTGTTAAACAATACAGAGTTGTCTGAAAAATTCAAAATGAGAGGTTTAGTCAATAAGTATTAAAGCCTTCAAAATAGGAAGAAAATAACTGTGGGCTGATGTAGGACAGAATTTGGATATTCAGGGGGAGGCCATTGCAATCATTTCTGTGAGTTTATATATTGGTGGCCGAGGAGGCAAAAGGAACAAAGGCATGGAGGTAATAATTTGCAAAGCTTGTTAATGGGATAATGACCAAATTTGCCCAGCTGGTGAAAGGAGTAAAATTGAAGAACAATGGAAAACATAGCTGAAAAGGAAAGTAGGGCCTTAAATGCTAGGCTTAGTTTGGACTTTATTGCTTAGACAAGAAGCCACTGAGTTTTTGAGGAGGAGGATAACATATTAACGTGATAAAAATATTTTTATGGTGGCAGCTAGATGGCGCAGTGGATAGGGCACTGGCCCTGGATTCAGGAAGACCTGAGTTCGAATCTGGCCTCAGACACTAGACACTTACTAGCTGTATGAACCTGGTTAAGTGACTTCACCCCATTGCCTCGCCAAAAAATATATATATATATTTGTGAATATTTGTCTGCCAAAGTTACATACTAAAGATGGAAGAGGAGACAAAATAAAGAGAGGGAAGCCATTTAACAAGCTATTATTAGTATTGAGGTAAGAAATAATAATTTCTTATGTGGCGTACACCGAAGTAATAGCAGTAGAGCTTGAAGAGGGAAGATATGAGATTACAAAGAGAAAATCTACACACTGAAATGAGTAATTTGGATGTGGGGAGCAAGGAATATAGGAAGAAGTTAAAGGTGACTCCCAAGATTTTAAGCATATCAAGGAAACTTCATGTTTCCAAGAGTGTATCTGACAGCTATGCAAAGTTTTTGCTTTTTGAAAAGGAGCAATAAATCTAAAGGAAAGTTGTTTGTAGTAGAAATTTTCAGTAGAGTGTATATTCTTTGGGGACAAAGAGCGGTTTTATTTTTTTGCCTTTACACCTCCAGCACCTAGCATTTAAATGAATTTCTAACATAATTTTACCTATGGAATTAACAGCCTACTCCAAACTCAATTCAGGTGGGCTGCAGAGGACATTTTTCCACAACAGTACTGCTCTAGCTCTGTGCTAAGTATAAAAAGTCTATGCAGGACTGTCTAGGGACAACTAAGCTCCAGTTCAAAATTTCTATTCTTCGATTGTTTTTTAAGTAATGAGGGTAACAATAAGCAGCAGTCTGAGGATTTGATACATAAATCATGTATTAAGTGCTTACTAAATGCCAAGCAATGCAATAATATCCACAGATGCTCAAGTGTTCACAAAGCAACCTCAGATTTCCAGCCTAGAAAGATAGTGCCTTATTTCAATCAATGGAGTAAGAGCTAAAGAGGAAGCTGTCTTTGCACGTTCCTGTTACTGATTGTCTGAACATCAGTTGGCATCTGGACAGCCAGCACATGTGTAACAACCAATCAAAACCATTCCTAGCTGGCCTACTACTGATTTGAAAGTGATTCACCACTTACATTGGTGAAAAGGAGGGGTCTCCTTCCCCAAAATGTGATTTTTAAAAAAGTGTCTCTCCCTCAAACATTATGTACTATATGCTTCTATAATGTATTGAGTTGCATGATGCTTTTTGGGAGGGGTCGTGGCTTGGGAAGGGGTAGAATCTGGCTTTTAATTAGCCTGTGTTCTTATGAGAGAAAACATGCAGTTAGTTAAGTGGAACAGTGTGATCACCAAAGACCTGCCAACTATCAAGTGGCTTACTAAATGGTTGATAGTGAGGCTAGGATTACAACCTATACCAAAGAACTTTATTTAGAACCACTAGCTAGACCAAATCCAAGTTACTAGGAGAAGAAGGGGAGGAAGGGAAGGAAATGACTGGGCACCAGTGCTTTGGGCACTAGAGAATCATATATAGTCAATGTGGTCTCTGGCAATGTTAGCAACGTAGGATAGTTTAGTAAATTTAGAAACCACTGGATCCATGCTGGATGATGGAATTCTCTCATTACTTTAATTTTACTACCAATATTCCTTTTAGTACTCTTTCCCCTTGGAAATAAATACGCTAGGAAAAACACACTTTTATTTTGTTTGCATAGGATGAGATGAAGGATTAGTTATGAGTCATCTTTTTGGTTCTTTCAAAAGTTCACAACACTGTTACAGAATGAACAGAATATTGAGGCTTAACTTGGCTCTGCTGTACCGGGCTAGATAGAACTAGTCATTACCATTTAAGTACATGAAATAAGAAGGTATTCCTAAACCAAAGGCAAAGGTTCAGATCAGGTGCTGATCCTCGAAAATTAGCTAAGGTTAAATTAAGTAGAGCCCCATCAGCCTAAGAAAAAATATCTTGTTCATAACTATTAATGGGGCCAATGGTACCAAATTCCTGAATATAACCACTTGACAGCACATTAATTCCATTTTACAAACCAGACACATCGATCCTATCATGTGTAAATAAACTACTTCCTTAGTAGTTTCTTTAGAGATTAATTTGCTTTTTTACAGCTTTTACTTAAGAATTTCCTAGTCTTGGGCCCCTGATGGCAGGGACACATTCTTTGAAATGCAATCCTATGTACTCTGTGGGTGCTCAATAAATATTTGGGTAACTGTTAGGTTTAGAGTAGTTTCATTTTTCTTTTAATTACATGTGTGTCTTTCTGTTCCTCAGGCTCAGAAACATTTACTACCTCTTTAACACAGTCCTCTTCCTCATCATCTGGCGCTTTTTCATTGCAAGATCACAGATGGCTCGGAATATCTGGTACTTCGTGGTGAGCCTTTGCTATAAATTCCTTTCCTACTTCAGGGCATCCAGCACCTTCAGGCACTGAGAACAATCAAAGTTTACCCATCTTCTGTTGAGCTCCTTGAAAACAACAAACTGTGGCTATCAAGCATTAGAAATCATGCAGGAACTTGTCCTTTTAGCTATTATAAGGCATATGTATAGTCATATATTTATCTCAACGCCTAACTGTATTTTCTTGATTCATACATTGTACTTTATCTTCCAGAGGATGCCTAGTGAAATAAAATCTCATTGCAATCTCTTAAGCCATAATCATGAACTTTGTTAAAAAAAAAATGATCGTGGAATAATTTCCCAATACTGTATTTGATGTTTATGTGGAACAACATACCTTCTTTCTCCCTTCTAACCTTGATGTTTTTTTCTATACTATTATCTTGATGTCAATTTTAAAAGCACAAAATATATAATAGAGTTGAAAAATGTGAATTTTTAAGAGCAAGGTTACACTGTGGCACCCTTCTAGGGATTAAATCTAAAAGTTAAAAATAAAAATAGCAGAGGAGAGCATATTCTCAACTCACTAACAAACGTTGTAGGAGAAATTGTTAACCTTTTTAACCTTCTCCCCTTTCCTCTCAATGTGATTAATATTTTCAAGTCCTGGTAGGAAAGTTTTTAACTAGGAAATCAATATTGCTAAGAAAAAAATACTCAAATGAACATGTTCATGACACATCTTTGCATTTGGCATATGGGTTTTAATCAAGATTTAAACACTAGTATTCAAATTCCTTTTAATCACTACTCCCCTAGCAGCTTATTACTTTTTTTTTAAACTCATTTCCCTAGCCTCTTCTATTATATCATTGTGCTATCTATAACTACTTTCTCTGTAAATTCTATTTATATTTAAGTCCTGTTCAGCTGTTACTTTAATTAGGGCAAATGGTGGGAGTGGTTTTCAAAGATCTATCTAAAAAACATTTCCCAACTGAAAATTGTGAAATATCATAAGGGTATTAAGTAAAGCAGGATTTGAAACTAAGTATTTAGTCATAATTCTTAAACAGGGAAAAGGGTAGAGGGAGCAGGCACTTATTCCACACCTGCTAAATTGAAAATATTGCTCTATTTATGAGTAACCTGATAGGTCGAGCTGACCCACTGTTAAGTGTACTACGTACAGAGAAAGAAGTTACAGTCTTCAGTAATAAGGGACACTAAATTACCTTTTGGGTATACTGATTAGGGTTTTTTAAGCTTATTGTATTTTTAGGTGCAATGGGAACAAGCTAATTTGATCAGGTTAATAATAAATATCAAAACAGTTAAAAATTTCAAAATGCTGTTTTATTATCACAGCATTTGCTCTTCCATCTTTCCCAGTAATCAGTACTTGCTAGACTATTAAACCACTCATTCCAAAAATACTGATTAATCATATGATCAGAGATTGAGCAGGAAGGAACCTTAGAGGTTACCTAGCCCAATCCTCTCATTTTAAAGATGATGAAACTGAGGTCCAGATAGAATTAGTGACCTGCCTGCTAAGTGGCAGATCTGAGATTGAAACTGAAGTTCTCTGATTCCAAACCAGCACCCTTTGGGGTAGAATAAATGAATAGAATAATTTATTAAGCGCTTACTATATGTAAAGCCCTGGGTTCAGCACTGGGGATACAAATAGAAAAGGCCATCCCTAGTCTCAAGTAGCTCACATTCTATTAGGGGAGATAACACATATAGAGATTTCAGATGCAACTGAGATGAAAAAGTCTCATTGTCCTTAGGGTACAACAGCAAAGCAGATGTTAATTCCTCTTCTTTAATGTGATTTCCACTGAAAAAAAATGATATCAATTTCTGGATGTTAAACTTATGTGGCAGTGCCAAGGACTTTGGTGGCAACAATTTTCTTTTCAACTAGAAAAGCAAGGGCAACTACCCAAATAATAACTAAATGAAGAAAGAATAACTTGGGCAAAATATGATAATAAAAACAGCTTCTCATTTATATTCAAATACTGGAATAATATACAACAAGATTAGAGATCTTCTCTGCAGGCCCCAAGAAGTAGTATGGAGGGATAAATAACCTAATTCAGAGTTAAGACTTGGGTTTAAGCCTTACCTCTAACATATATTGGCCACATGATACTGGGCAAGTTGCTTAGCCTCTGTGTCATAAGCATCTCTCTAAGACTTTAAGTTGTTGAGAAGGTGGGAATCTGAATTGGTAGAGAAGGTTTCCTCTCATTGTGGAGTTTTCTGTACCAATGAAATCAAAGGTCCAAACCCTGGGTTCCACAAGTGTCCCCTCTTAGGAAAATGTCAAAATTTCCTTCAGTCCTAAATTCCAAGGTATTTAACCCAATTCTGGGCCAAATCATTTGGGAAGCGATGTTTGAGTTTCACAATAAGAAATACAAGTGATATGAAAGATTAAAAAAAAAAAATCAAAATATTTCACTGGGATGGGGACAAAAGTTTTAAAAAATTACTGGCTATGCCTTTCGATTACTATGTTCAGCAATTTCAATAACCTCAGTAATAAAATAATCACATTTTTACTTTTTTGATTAAGAAAAAAATTGAATAAAAGTTAGTATTTCCTCCCTTCTTCTGATGTGTCTTTATTTGTGGTTTAGAGAAAAATACTTTTCAAAACCTATCTTAAAAAAAAAAACTTTCCTGGCTTCCTAAAGAATATCTGTTTCCATCTTTAATTTGCCAGATTACACATTCCTTCAGGCCACAAATATCTAGCCAAAACTTCACCTTATCTTTGTCCAGGCTCTCATTACCTCTCACATGGATAATTGTAACAAGCACCTACTCACGTCTCCCATTTTTCATTCCTTTCCTCTACAATCTATCCTTTATATATTGTTCCCAAACAATCGTCTTAATAATTCAAAGGTCTCTTTGTGTCACAAAATTTTAATTTCCCATTAAGTACAAACTCCCTAGCTTGGTCTATGAATACCTTAGTCTGGTATTCAAGGCCATCAAATATCTGGCTTCAAATTGCCTTTCCATCCTTATTTCACACTATACTCTAGTCTACTGAGTGTTATACTTCACAGTCCACTTCCATTAAACTTTCCTTCCTCTGTTCCTCTGTCTAAAAATGATCCTTCCCAGGGGCAGCTAGGTGGCCCAGTGGATACAGCACCAACCCTGAAGTCAGAAGGACCCGAGTTCAAATACTACCTTAGACCAAACACTTGACACTTACCAGCTGTGTGACCCTGGGCAAGTCACTTAACCCCAACTGCCTAAAAATAATAAAAAAAAACAAAACATATTGTGAAAAATGATCCTTCCCTCCAATTGCTCCTACCATTGTTTGACCTCTTCTGTGTACTTAATCATATTCTAATTTGCATAGGTTATTCCTAAATCTCTTTCTAAAGAGCCAGATTTGCCTAATAGCACCATTCTCCCTGACCTGATTTCTGTCATATAAGGCTGGTTAGCTTAAGGCTTAACTGTACCCAGTTCTACTTAGCATGAGCTGCTGTAACTCTTCCAAAAGCTTACTGATATGGTGGTTATAATTTAAACTTTCTCATCCTGAAGACTTCCCATTAGAACTGGTCTCCCTGGTTTCTAATCAGGCAAACTTTAGATAATTTCTTTTGCTATTGGTCCATGTTCCCTGACTTCATTGCTTCAGAGAGTAACTTCAATATCAAACCTTTGAAAATCTATATAAATGGAGCAGCTAGGTGGTGAAGTGGATAAAGCATTGGCCCTGGAGTCAGGAGAAGCCAAGTTCAAATCCAGCCTTAGACACTTCACACTTACTAAAGCTGTGTGAGCTTAGGCTGACACTTAACCCAACTGCCTCACCAAAAAAAAAAAAAAAATCTACATAAATTTGAACTCCCAACAGCTTTGGGCCTTTGAACAGAGGTCATACCACACAACATGTCAAGATTTTCATCCTGTAGTGTTGCCTCATAGAACAGAAGGAAGAAGGGAGGCTATATTCATCCTATCCTTGACTGAATAACTGTTATCCTAAAACATTAAGCTTCATTATGTGAGCATCAATAAACTATTTTAAATCTATTCTAGTGTTGCTATGTCAAACTTTGTACAACTTTTCCTTACTAAATTATGAGTACCTTTTGAGAGTAAAGACTTGTCAACATTCACATCTATATTCAGTAACTAACACATGGTAGGTGTTCAACTCATTGAAGAGAGTACTTAAAATGACAATGGAGGTAGAAATAATGTTTGGATAAGACATGAATCCTGCCCTCAATGAGTTAAGTCACAAAAAGGTAACCATTAAGATGCATTATGAAAGTGCATTAAACAGAAGAGCTGCAGTTTTAGGAACTTGCAGCTCATAGATGGTAAGGGGGTCAGGAAACTAGTTAGAGATTATAAGGGACCCTTTGTTAGCACTAGGTGAAACTAGCACTGATTGGCAATTCTACTGCCTATAAGAAGTTCTGGGTCACAATTCCAGGGTTGAGAGGAGAATATGGTCACAAGCGACCAGGGGCTCTGGTCATAGTTCCAGGACCAAGAGATGCACTAGTACCCATGGCTGTAGGGAAGCAGGGACCCCTCCTGGGTAAAGACAGGCACATGGACTAGAAGAGCAGTGACAGCACACCACCTTAGAAGCACCAAACACTTACAGACCCCCAGAAGTGGCTCTGAAAACAGCAAAACAAACAAATTCTAAAACTGGGCACAGTGCCTCCCCATGACCAGGTAAAGAGAGACCAATAAAGACCGAAGTCAAGAAAACATGATGGGAAAATGAGCAAAGTTTTTAAAAAAATTTTAAAAATAAAATAAAAAATAACTTGACCACAAAAAAGCTTCTACAGTGAGAGAGAAAAACAGGACATAAACCCAGAAAAAGACAATGATATGAAAATAGCTATAAGCAAAGCCTCAAAGAAAAATGCTAATTGGACCCAAGGCTATCCAGAATACTTAGAAAAGTTAAAGAGATAAAAGTAGTAGAAGAAAAGTTGAGAAAAGAAAGGAAAGTGAAATGATGAAAGAGAATTATGGAGAGAATAGCTTGGTAAAAGATGCACTAAAAAAAAAAAAAGCTGAAGATAATTAACATCTTAAAAAACAGAATTGGCCTAATGATGAAAGAGGCACAAAAATTCACTTTAGGAAAAAAAAAACACGTAAAAAGCAGAACTGGTCAAATGGAAAAAAGGTACAAAAGCTCAATAAAGAAAATAATTCCCTAAAAATTATAATTGGTCAAGCAGAATAACTCCATGAGACTTCAAGAAACAATAAAACAAAGTCAAAAGAATGAAAAAAATAAGAAAATACAAAATATCTCATCAGAAAAACAACTGACCTAGAAAACAGATTGATGAGATAAATTTAAGAATTATTGGAGCTAGGGGGTAGAGCCAACATGGTAGAGTAAAAGCAGTGACTTGCTTGAGCTCTCTCCCAAACCCCTCCAAATACCTATAAAAAATGGCTCTAAACAAATTCTAAAGCAGCAGAACCCACAAAAAGACAGAGTGAAACAAATTTCCATCTCAATATAGCCTGGATGGTTGATTACAAAGGTATATCGTGCTGAGTGGGGAGAGGAGCACAGTTGTATGTGGGCACTCAGGCTTCAGTGAACCTGGAGCAGGCCTCAGATGACTGAATCACAGGCAGCTGTGGCAGTTTCCAGACTTCTCAACCCACAAACGCCAAAGATAACTTAGAAGGTCAATGGGAAAAGTCTGTGTCTGCAGTGGGAGAGAGAAGCACAGAACCAGCCACAGGTCCCCAAGCCCAGCCCCGGGGTGGTGGCTGCTTCCAGAGCTTCCGGCCAATAAACTGATGGGGAATCCAGCGGCTGATCAGAGGGGGATTGCAGGGATCTCTCTGCTGGTGCAGGGTTATTTTGCTTTGCCCCTGCTTGGATCCGGGTGGTGGTCCTGGGGTGAGGAGTAGTGCTGACTTGGTGGAGCATGTAGTGGCTGTGGAGAGGAAATCCTCCTCACAGTTACAAGACAGAAAAGAGTGCCTATGGTCACTCATAGACTAGAGCCTAGGCCAGGAAAGGCGTAAACAACTCTACCTTGATCATAGCACCTGGGAAGAACTGAAAATTTACAGGTCCCTAGAAGTATCTCTGAAAACAGCTGCACAAAACCCCTGAAGCTTGAGACAGTACATTCTCCATACTGGAAGCAGACACCCCTATCTTAACAAAGAGTTTATAACTCAAGTAACTGGCTGAGATCATGAGTAAGCAGCACAAAAAGAGTCAGACTACAGAATCCTATTCTGGTGACAAAGAAGATCAAAACATACAACCAGAAGAAGACAACAAAGTCAAAGCTTCTACATCCAAAGCCTCCAAGAAAAATAGGAATTGGTCCCAGGCCATGGAAGAGCTCAGAAAGGATTTTGAGAAGCAAGAGAAGTAGAGGAAAAACTGAGAGTGATGCAAGAAAATCATGAAAAACAAGTCAACAGCTTGCTAAAGGAGACCCAAAAAAATACTGAAGAAAATAACACCTTAAAAAATAGCCTAACCCAAATGGCAAAAGAAGTCCAAAAAGCCAATGAGGAGAAGAATGCCTTAAAAAGCAAAATTGGCCAAATGGAAAAGGAAGTCCAAAAGCTTACTGAAGAAAATACTAC